TAGCCCAACAAGCCCACACCGACTCTCCAAGGAGAATCCCACCCAGACTCACCCTATCTCTTGCAACTTTGCATCTTTTCCCCCCATGGCTAACCCACCTAGTCTATACATTCCTGGACACTACGGGCAATTTAGCATGGCCATTCCACCCTAATCTGCACATCTTTGGACTGTGGGAGGAAACTGGAGCACCTGGAGGAAACTCACGCAGACACGGGGAGAATGTGCAAACTCCACACAGTCAAGTGAGACTGGGATTGAACCCAGGTCCCTGGTACTGTGAGGCAGCAGTGCTAACCACTGAGCCACTGAGGATCTTTGGTGAATTTCTGCAGTGCAACTTGTAGATAGTGCACACTGCTGCTACTCAATGTGGGTTGTGGAGGGAGTGGATTCTTGTGGGTGTGGTGTCCATCAAGTGGTCTGCTTTGTCTTAAGTTCTTTAGTTTGAATGAGGCAGAAGGAGATGGAATGTGAGCCTGTAGAGGGAATTCGAGAGCCTGGGTCTGGTAATCTGACGGTGTGGCGATGCTCAAGAAGCTATGATTTGAGGAGCACAGAGATCTAAGAGGGTTGCGCAGTTGGAGGAGATTACAGTGACAGGGAGGGGAGAGATTGAAAAGGAATCTGGAAACAAGGCTGGGAATCATGTCAGTGAGCACAGCTGTTTAAAACAGTCAGCTTTGATATATAATGAATTCCCTGTAATTCTCCACTTTTCTACTGTTTTCTGTTTCGAGAAGCTCCTTAAAATTTACGTTGCAGGTCAAGCTTCGCGTCTTCTGTCCTAATAACTCCTTCTCTGGCTCGGCACCAAATGTTTACAGTTCATTCATCTCTTATGATCTAAATGCTGCAAAACAAGTGGTTAGATATTAAAGGATTAAGGAAGAGGTTAGGCTGATTAACTCAGTAAACCATTTAAATAAATGGCAGGGCTCTTTGCACTCAAGGCAAGAGTGAAAAATCTTGGGTGTTTCCGTCTATCCTATTACCTGGGATACATTTTAACAGGCATAGAGTCATAGAGTCGTAGAGTCAAAAAGCCATACAGCACAAAAACAGACCCTTTGGTCCAACCAGTCCACGCCGACCATAATCCCAAACTAAACTAACCCCATTTGGCATTTGGCCCCTATCTCTCCAAAACTTTCTTAGTCATCTACTTATCCAAACATCTTTTTTTTATTTATTCATTTTGTGGGATGTGGGCGTCGCTGGCTGGGTCCAGCATTTATTGCCCGTCCCTAGTTGCCCCTCGAGAAGGTGGGTATGAGCTGCCGTCTTGAACCGCTGCAGTCCATGTGCTGTGGGTTGACCCACAATGCCCTTAGGGAGGGAATTCCAGGATTCTGAACCAACGACAGTGAAGGATCTGCAATATATTTCCAAGTCAAGATGGTGATTGGCTTGGAGGGGAACTTTTGAAGGTGGAGGCGTTCCCACATATCTGCTGCCCTTATCTTTCTAGATAGAAGTGACGGTGGGTTTGGAAGGTGTTACTTAGAGTCACAGAGTTGTACAGCCCTTTGGAAACAGACCTTTTGGTCCAACTCGTCCATGCCAACCAGATATCCTAAATAAATCTAGTCCCATTTGCCA